TTGCGTTTGGACTTATATAACTTAAACATCTGCCAATACCCTCAATAATAATGCTCTCTCTCTTCGTCCCCACCTAAAAACACCAATAAACCAACAAAACATCAAAATATCAAAACATCAACCAACCGACAACCCAACAAACACACAAAACACGATAACCTCCGATAACGCGTCGATATCGGACAACAGGTGTCTCATGTCAAAATCGATTCACCTGTTTTTCGCCTGCACACCAACGCAACGGTCATATTACTGATCACATTCTCGATTGCTGTGACGACGCGGCAGTACGTAGGAAATCCCATAGACTGTGTACATACAAGGTGAGCGACTTTTTCGATGAGCCCGATATATTTCCGATTAACGCGATTCTTTCGATTGCAGAGACATTCCCGAAGATGTTCTCAACACATATTGTTGGATACACTCAACGTATACAGTGGTCGATGCGTTTATGAAGAAGCAAGGTTCCGAGGTGCCTTTTCCCGGAGTTCACAATTCACAGGGCCGCGGGCCTCTTACAATAAAGCACACAAAATATTATCAATGGGTAGCGTTTACACTATTTTTTCAGGTAAGTAATCTGAAAGATCGCATCCCTCTGTTGTAAGCTTAAAAGCACAGCCCATTTTCCTGTGGTAACGGAACTGTCTAAAAGCTTTTCGAAGCATTGCCTGGGTTGGAAACTATAATAGGCAACACCTACGCAGTGTTTTAAACAATATCCCACCCATAAAACTGTTACATTTTGGGAGCTTTTTATATGTAATTACAAAGCGGCATTCGCTTGGGCCAACAGAAATGCGATGCAAACACCTAAGATGATAAAAACATATAAACTTATAAATTTACCTAAATTTCCTACAGCAATCATCACATATTGTTTCATTCACCGTTTTTATCTCATAGAAGTTCAGAAAGCTTTTACTCAGCTTTAGACTTTTTGATAAGCTTTACAAAGCATTTCAGCTTAGTTGCAGCGAAAAGGAAAACGGAAAAGGATTCGCTTTGTCATACTGCAAAGTGTTATTTACCTTTTTTCAAAAAGCTTGTACATTTCAAAGCTAGGAAATCTTATAGAAGTAGTGTAAAAATTACCCCTCTAACTGGTTAAAGTTCATAGAAATGGGGCAGCTATATTGCATATTATATAAAAACGATAGGAAAATTATTAAGATATTTTAGCTAAATAGTTTTTTATCATATTCGCTACGAGCATTATATTCGTAATCAGGAATATTATGGAAATGGCAGCCACAGAAACGATTATATTATGTTTTGCTGTTGTATGAATCAGACGACTAAATTTTCTTCGTTAATCTTCATATTAATGACGAACGAATCTATCAGTAATCGCAATAACATTCATTTTACCACTCAATGTGAGCGTTCAATCATTTATTTTTATTTCCGAGCCCAAATTTAGTTTACTCAAGTCCATAGAAAGCAATAAATATTCAAATCGCAGAAGGCTTTCCCAAGTAAAATTTTTATGTAACTAGTAGTAGTACAGAATTTCACACACGGCTTGCGTTCCGATATCAATACCCAAATATGTAGTATTAGCGCTCGATTTTGGCCAAGAGCATGGGACGGCCGGAGGAACCCGTCTAGCCGCTCCCTGGGGAGATGCGGAACTGGTGGTCACCGCACCGCTGAAACACCAACAACCAACTACCAACAACTGGCAACAATGACCTTTCGCACTTTTCGAGGCGTTGTCTCTTTTGTTTCGCCGTAAAGCCGAAGGATCGGGTGTGTGATGCATTAATGCGTCGCAGACGCTGCAGTTGCTCCCGCCCATGCTGCATGCTGCATGCAGCACGTTGCACGTTGCATGTTGCTGTGGGGCAGCGATGTGGCCGCTGCACCGGAAAAAGATGCAGGAACTATTTTGGGATGCTTCGCTTTCTCCAGTTCTTCCAGCTCGATGCGCTCTGTTATTATATTTGGTCTGCGCTATTTTTGTTAAAAACAGAAAAAAGCACTGAATGCAATCGCTTGACCCCGTTTAAACCCCAACCGAACCGATGGGTGGAGCCCCGTATTCCGTATTTCCACATCCCCCGACTTTCCGAACTTCCCCCAATGCGGGATCGTGAACGTCTTTTATCAATTTTATGCGCAGTGTGCTTGATATTTCCATTAATTTTATTTATTTACGCCACCGTCCTGCTGGGCGAGCGAGTGCTGAAAAAATTATAATTTATGTTGTGAGTGTGGCTCGAGGGGCGAGGATGCCGCCCGCGTATTCTCCACCTGCCTCCCCTGGGGAATACCCAAATAAAACGAATAAAACAGAAGAAATTAACAAGCGGTGCAAACAGGGGCTCGTTAAAGCGTTTTTGATATCCAATCTTACAAATCATATTTCTTTCCGATCGCAACAAGAACTGACGCAACCATTTGACATCGCTCATAAAAGTGGCGTGTGCGGTTCGCTGTCGATCATAAAATCATCCAGATCGCGATGAAGGTCGGGGAGGTGCAGAAAGGGGGTCCCAAAGGGGCGGCTCGCCAACAAACCACCCAGCAGTCCATCAAAGTGTTTGTCGGAAATAAGAAACTACATGAAAGTGGTCGAGGAACCAGCCCCCGGCCCCCGGCCCCCGGCCCCCGGCCCCTAGACTCAGATCTGCCCAATAACCATAAGATTTATGCGATCACGATTCTCTAGTATATGGCCAAAGGAACATCTAAATTTGCCTGACTTCATCCTACACAGGAACGAAATCAATGGACTCTGAAGGACTGTTTTCTGAAACCGCTGCTCCGAAATGAACAATTTTACCTGCACACTTTCTTCAATAACCCCTAAGAGCCGAAGACACATTTTCCAAGACACAAGTCCAAGACATAATTAACGTTTCCGTTTCGCCTTGGCCGGCCATCTCCCTTCAGTTTTAATGCATCATTTGGCGCAGGGCCCAATGGCGAGAAATCGGAAAAGTAGCCATGCATTTCCCATACGGCGGCTAATGTTCTTCGGATGCATTAATGAGGGAAAGCAAGGCTTTTTCCGGACATTGTCTACGCCGCGTCAATGTCTGCAAGAATCCCCGGAAACCAGGGCCAACAAAACATAGCCTAATGGCCGAATTATGCAGAGGGATCCGCCATCGCCATTGTCTCAAGCCGGAACATTTTTTTCGGAACTGAGTACGCCAGGCGACTCACGTAGTGTCTCAAACCAATTGAATTTTGATGGCCAGCCTCCATGGCCAGTTGCCATTCTCAATTTGGAGGCATGCCTCGAATCATTTTTGTGGCGACTGCGGCAGCTGCCGAGATAGAGATACAAACACAGAACGGGATTCGGACACAGATACTGGCACAACTGAGGAGCCAATAATAGGATCGATGAACATAAAGTCTCATAAAGTCCCAAATAAAGTCTTCCAAAAAAGATTCAAAGCCACATTCATCTTAAACGGGGATATTACAGGAACTTAAGAAACGTTTCTAAGATAATTAAAATAAATTGAATACAAAAAACCCACATTGCTCCTAATATTTTGGCTCGCTGTGTGCCAAGGCAGCTGGTCGCATGGTCGATGGGACAACTTAATCAAATCGACCAGCGGATATGTCAGACAGTTTTTATGCCCACCACTCCAGCTGCGCTCGTCCTCATAAAACTCCAATTGATATGCTCCGCATGATGTCTAGGCGCAAGAATCAAAATACGCATAAATCCCGACTCCGGCCTCTCGCCACGTCACATGTCCTGCCACAGGACAAAGGGCTTCGGCCGCCTGATTGCAGCAATAATGAGCGGAAATCACAACAATGCAAAGCGGAACCCTTCACTCAGACACTGTGCGAAATAATGTGATATGGGCGAAATATCACTCTTCGCATGGCAGTTTACTGAATACAAAACCAACATATTATTTAAAAAATTAAAGGTTTGAGGAATCCACAATTCGATTTGTCGGAAAGCGACAATTTATATAAATAGACAAAAATTAAAACTGCCAAAATGTTAAGATCCTCGTGATGTATTTACACGTTTCAGCGAGCAGATAGATAGCACCAGGCTCTTCAATGGAAGTGCTTTCTAATTTTTGGCGGTGTATTTTTGCAATCCCCTTTCCGAAATGAGCTTGCAGCTCGAAGTCAGACTCCTTATGATGTCGCATCAAATCATTAGATATCGGGTCTTCGCAGGCTTGTCGCTGTCGTTTTCGTTGTCACTCGGATTCTGCTTTCTCCTCCGCACTCCTTTCTCCGTCCTTAGCTCCCCTTTCTCCGTTCTTGGCTCCCCTTTCTCCGCCTCGTTGCCGCTTTCGTTGTCATTCGCGAGCGTGCGAGAAATAAATACGAATATGTAAATAGTTTGCCCAAATGCACAGTGGACTGAAACGGTTTTTTTATTCCAAAATTTCATTTCATATTTTTTCAAGTGCGAAAAGTACCAACTGCCTAAAGCTGGTACTAAAGTACTAAATAAATACTTCAGCTTTGGTGGCATTTTTAAACGAAGTGATCTTGATTGACATAAAGTCTCGAACTTTATGTTTCGTAACTAAAATGATGCAACACTCTTGTTGAGAACATAATAAAGTATTCTTAAGATTTAGTTCCACCATTCTAAGCAATGTTTTGATGCCTTAACTCGAAAAAGGGGAATGGATTCGAATGGAAGTGAGAAGGGTGTGCTCAGGCCTTTTGTTTTAGTCATTGGGCCTGGCCGCAGATTGTTGCAACTACTATTGTTGTTTATGACCGGCGAGTGCAGCTCCTGGTTTCTCTTCGTCCGCCCCCTCCGCACCCCTCCTTTGGGGGACCCTATTCCCCCACTAGCGACTCGGCCTCCGTTTTCCCCGCCGGAAGTGTGCGTGTCTCGCGAGGAGGGAACGTGTTGCTGCCGCCCAAAAATTGTTGGCAGCACAGAGATCTGCTCTCTGGCTTTTCCCCGCTCTCTGTCTGGATTTCCCTCTCAGTCTCTCTCTGTCTCGCGGTCTCGCTGTCTCGCTGTCTCTCTGCCTGTCAGCTGTGGGCAGACCATTTTCCGAGTGGCTTTTCTTGGCCAGTGCCCGCCAGTGTCTGTTGCGTTGGCAAAGTGAACGTGCGCGTCTTTTCCTGCTCCTGCTGCTCCAAAGTCCGCAGTCTCTCCGCCTCAACTGATCTCGAGGAAAAGATCTCCGGACAAAAAACGTCTGAAGCCGGAGCATAGCCGTATTCCGATTTCTTTTCCGCAACCGCAAAACCCATCAAAGTTTTTTTTTACCAGTGAGCGATCGAAAAATGTGAGGTTGAGGTGCCCAGAGTCACCCGTTAAAGGCTTCGACCATGTCGGACACGTGACCCGCGCTTGTCCCGCGCGATGAAACCGATAATACGCGCCTAATCGAGTAAGCCGATTAAACCGATAACAGCGATAGCGTCGATAGCCCAAGCCTGGCAACGAGTGTGAGAATTCGATTCGAGCAAATACTGTGCAAACAAACACCCAGCGTTTTCTATATTTTCACAACACCCACGAAAGATCATTGACTGCATTGCGGGATCATAACATATAGTAGGAAGCCACATGCCCGCAGAATCACAAATTGTATTTATATATACACGTATATATAGTATTGTAGGGGCTGTGTGCAGGCCACCGCTTGATCATAATTAACTCTTACAAAGTAAATAAACCAACTGCGAATTCGGGGGCCATGTGTTGCCCCCGAAACCGAAAACCGAAAACCGAAAACCAAAAACCAAAAACCGAAAACCAACAGGCGATCCACAAAATTGTACAATTAACATTCGACACGTTTGTCCAAAAGCCAGAAGCAAACCGAAAAACAAAAACACAATTTTTATTTTTCATTTTATATTTATATTTTATATGAGGTTGTCGTCGTCTCATATCATTCGCACATAGTTGGGTATGAAACTTAAAGTTTTGGCTCATTGTTTATTTAAGTAACTTTTGCTTAACTTTAGTTAGGCTTTTGGTGTCTTGCATCAGATTAATTCATTCCAGAAATTTAATGGGCGATTTGGAGGGCTTGTGCTTAAATTTAATATGAAATTATTGTATCGATTAACACCAAAGTTTTCTATGCAAAGTGGTTAAACTTTTCATTGTTGCTCCAGGATTCAATTGCAATTTTAAAGACAGTTTTATTAAATAATAAAGCAGGTATGTGGATTCGCAAAAATGTGTTAATTTTTATATGGATGAACAATTTATTTAGATTATCTCAAAATACAAAAAATGTGAAGACTGCAGTTGAAATTGAACCACGTATTAATTATAAAACATAATTCAAATATTGCTAGTTTCGATGAAAAGTCTACATGAGCTTTATATTTATTTTTCAAATTGTTTTGTCAGTTTTACTGGTCTGTGCAGGTATTTTGTAAAAATACAACCAAGGATTTTTATCCCTACACATGGTGTTTGGAAAGCATGAGACAGGGATTTTCATTGCCTTTCCAGTGAAGAGCTCTTTAAGCCGCATCAGTTGCCTATAAATGTATTAATAATTATGAAACATTTCCCCAAATCGAACTTTTTTGGCCACCTCAAACGTATTGACTTTGAAAACATTGAAATCGATTCGGTTTCATTTCGGATTCTGATGTCCGTCGACTTCAAAGTGTGCTGGCCGCTTTTGATCGGGGGAATATATGTTTTTGTTAGCATTCCCCACTGGTTGCATTCGAAAGTGAACTCAAATCGAGCCGATCGGCTGTTGTTCAATTTTACGAGTACTATATCCCGGCGGAAAATGTTCTTCCACCGCATTTTATTTTCGTTTCTTTGTTTTTGGACGAGGGAAAATCCCAATTAGTCACCTCCCTCGTTTCTTGGAATTCCGTGTCTCACTTTCATATTTTGTCCACATTATAATAATGGGCACGCGCTGTGGGAAAAACAGATGAGAAGTCACAGACTTCGGGTACCCCTGAGTTTTATCTCCGACCCCCATTATCTTTGCAGCATTTCTGGCATATTTCACAATGCCGAGCAACGAAATAGTTTCGTTGAAATGTCAAGTGCAGGCAGGAAGCCCAAACAGGTCGATGGGGAGAGTTTATCTGTTGTGTGTTTTATAAACAAATCGGAGATCGGCCTGAACTCTGCTGGATTACGAAATAGATTAACGATGCTCTCGCCTTGGGCTATATCCCCCGATCCAATCCGATTTGATACGATCCGGGGCGGATTCTTAGACTGCCGCTGGTCAGCCTTCGCCTTTGACTTTGCTGGCCACGTGTGCGTATACGCAATTTTGCCGGTGTGTGCGTGGGCTTTTCTTTTTTAAGTACACAGAAGAAAAGATGGTTTAATTTATTTAATATTGTATCGTAGTGCTGAATACAAAAACAATATTTTAAAAGCACGTTTTCATGCAATTAAGCTATCCATCTAATCTAAATACAATGTGTCATGATCACATGATAGTTTATCAGTAAACTACTTAATTAACAAACGTTGTACTAGTTTAAGGCTTTTCTATAATTCTTCAGAGTCTTAAGATAACTAACTTTTTTCTGTGTACTCAGCGTAATTTTTCGCTTTTAGCTTTTTGCTATCGCTGTTGTTTTGATTTTATTATCGGCAGCTCGGCGGGAAAGTTTGTTTATAAACATTGCAATTTTAAAATTTACAGATCATTGGGAAACTGTTGTTCTCCAGTTTTTGGTCTTCCATTTTTTCCCTACGTCAGTCAGCATAAGTTTATTAACATATGCGAGGGAGGGTGTGATGCCACATTTTATTTATATTCTAGATTATTTTTTTTATTTGTTTTGTTTCTTTGCGCAATTAGCAATGCTGTTTAAGCATAAAAACTAAAAATTCAAATTCCGGGAATTCATGTGAATTCATAAAATACATTTTCCAAATAATAAACTTCAAAATTCGGTATGCCAAATTGCAAACACGACGAGTCTGGACATGTCCCATAATGCATGCAGTGAGCTTTGTGAAAATATTGAAGTAAAAACGCGAAAAACTGTGAAATCAAAATTGTACATCTCATTGCCAGCAGTAATCATTAAAAAAAAAGACCAAGCTCGGAAAAATCTCAAAAAAGTGTCAATGTAAAACAGCGGGTTGAGAATACCGGAGAGCGGAGGAACGAACCCGAAGATGCCCAGCTCTGTGACAGTCACATCCACTACAACGAACACGTCGCAACCCGAAGAATTGGAAAGCCATCCGAACCACCAGCAGCACCTGCACCACCCGCACCACCGGAACCACCAGCAGCAGCGCTTCCGGTTCCGGTTCGAGTCCCGATTAGGCGATGCGTCGATAATGGGCCTGCCGCGCAAAAGAAAGCACAGTCAGGAATCGGTAGCACAGTCGGTCGATAGCCACACGATACTCTGATATTCTGACACTGATACTATCGATAGGCAACGCGAACCCATCGATATTAAACGATAAAAGCAAGAAGAGAGGCCAGAGAGAATCATCGCCGATCTTGCCAGCTTTCGCTGACGACAAACCATGTTAGATATATTTCGTGGATTGAAAAACCTTGTAAAGGTCAGTCACGTTAAAACCGATTCGATAGTATTCCGCCTGCACTACTCAATAACTGTGATGATTCTGATGTCATTCTCGCTAATTATAACCACACGCCAGTACGTTGGCAATCCGATCGATTGTGTGCACACCAAAGATATTCCAGAGGATGTGCTCAACACGTACTGCTGGATCCAGTCCACCTACACGCTCAAAAGCCTCTTCCTGAAGAAGCAGGGCGTGTCGGTTCCATATCCGGGCATCGGCAACTCCGACGGTGATCCGGCGGACAAGAAGCACTACAAGTACTACCAGTGGGTCTGCTTCTGCCTCTTCTTTCAGGTATAAGAAGGGTGTGTCTCCGGACCACTTAATACAGTAATTATTTTCAAAATATCGATTGTCGCAACACAGACAGCCGTTGTCGAACCATTGATGCCCTTAATATTCCCACATCGACACAGCAGTTTATCAACTAACAAATCCTTATTATCCACACGATACACAAGATTTTTACTCCCTTCCTGGTTTCGATCATTAAATACCTTTGTGGCCAATTGAGTTCCAACAGTAATTCATTGGCAGTAATCATAACTATTTTGATATTTAAATTTGTATTCATTTTACTTTCAAATACTTATTAATACCCAAAAGCCATCCCATAGCCATGCAGACCCTACGTTTTAAGTATTATTATTCGGAAGTGTACTTGAATAATAATCTAATAAACTAGTAAATGCAAATAACTCAAACTGACAGGACACAAATTTGTTACCTATAAAAAAAAGTGGCTAAGGTGCAACCGAATTCACTTCTGTCCCACTGAAAGCATATTTTTCGAAAACGTTTTCAAGAAATTCAAGTGTCAGCCGAAGAAACTTATGTATGTCTGTTGGACAATGAAAGAAAATCAAGCAACTCTGATTTTTTTAAAGCAACATTAATTAAATTCGACGACATAACTCATCCTCTTAAGAGGCTACGCCTGCGCAGCGATTAAGCCAGAAAAATCGACCGAGAAATCGGCCATAGATCAGTGAATCGTTATATTTGGGGGCGATGAATGATTTGATGGATTAAGTAATTAAGCGATTTCTCGCGGACTGAGCGCGCCATTGGGATACATAGCCATACATACTTTTCAATATCCAAATATTTGTTCCACTTTTTTCCCATTTTCTTTTCTTCTATTTTGTTTTGCGGTTTTGGCCTTTTGTGAGCCAAATGAAATTGTTTAAGTATTTCGTGTGTGCTTTGTTATTGTTGCTGCTGAATGGGCTGGCCTTGTACCGCTGCGAGTATCCCAAAGATTGTTCGATCTGTGACGTAGGCGATGTCAGGCAGGGACGGGTATACTGCGCGAAAAAGAGAGGGGGCGAGATGGAGAGCGAGTGATTGATCGGCAATCGATGGGATCAAAAATGAGCTGGGGCGTTAGAAACAAATGTATTTGGGGGGAAGCAAACGTAGAATAAATAAATGCATTCGCCTGCAGAGACTTTCTCACTCTCAGTCTTGGGAATTTTGTTCTTAAACAATTACTTACCTCATAACCGTCGTTTTAAAAACTTGCTTGGTGTGTTTCAAGTATCATCAGAATATTATATAATAAAATATATAAAAAATACAATATATTTACCAGACCCTCATAGCCGTAATTTTAGAAACTTGAAATAAAAACTTATTTGATGTGCCTAAAGTAACATCAAAATATTTTATAATAAAAAAATACCTAAAAAAACAAAATATTTACCATTCTGAACTGCTATCTGTCCATTCTGAAGAATCTATCAACGTCAAAATATTTCTAAAGAGTAGGCTATGAAATCAATGCATACGGCTTTAAGGCAGGCAGACTTCAGTTACGAGTCGAACTTTATATCGAGAGGAAGTGTTTTCGGAATTACTAAAAAAAAAGTAACAAAAAAAGTAAAGCCAAAAAAAAGCAAGTGTTCAAAAAATTACGCAAGCTTACAGCATTCCGGTGAAAGTGAACGGGAACAGAATACGGGAACAGACGCACCTGTTCAGGCTGCGACTGTTACTGTGACTGTGGCTGTGCCTGAGACCATGGTTCCTGCTGATCCTGTGACAGTGACTGTGACTGTGACTGCGGAGGAGGCTACGTTTCCTGCTGAGGCTGTGACTGTGACTATGACTGTGAATATGACTGCGCCCATGACTGTGACTGTGCCTGTGACTATGGTTACTGCTGAAGCTGTGACAAAGAGAGTGACTGTGACTGTAACGGCGGAGGAGGCTATGGTCACTGCGGTGACTGAGGCCATGGCTGTGGCTGAGGCCGAGGTTTTTATCGATGGATATGCTGCTCCTGAAGCAGGCGAAGCTGGCCAAGTGATTGATGTGCAGTTGGTAGCCGACACTTCGAACTCTTCTGACCCAAACCCCACCACTAGCCCGTAATTGGACGATCTTTTGAAGAGAAACACACCAAATGTAATTTATAAAGATTTCTTTAGATTCGCTTGATAATAATTCCCCGCCTCCTGATAGATTCTCAGACTGTCATCGTTAATTGCGCGCACCGCTTAAAGGCGATTGATGGTGTCATTGAAGATTTCCCACCCCTTCACATTTTACACACTACATCACGGAGCAAATCGGTGACGTCGCCGTCCATATGGCACATATGAACATATATAGATCGAGACGCATGCATATTTATAGAGATGCTATGATTACACAATAACTCTTACCACTAACAATGTACAAATATTAAATGTGTATTTTTATCACACTTGGTCGGGCGGGGAAATCGGGGGAGCTTTTCTCGGTTAGTGTCACAGAGCGATTATAGAGACGTTCTAGTCACCCAAATTCCTATAAATACATTTATCATGGTATTCTCCCTGCTTAATGACGCGAAGACGCGTTTCTATAATTTACACTTTCCCCCAATATGCGATGCTCGATTTATTAATAATAGAAAACAAAACGAGAAATGGGAAATTGGAAATGGGAAATAACGCCGGCTTTCGTGGCTCATTGATTTTCGATAGCAAATGCGCTAGGGTATTTACAAACGAAAAAATACTCCAATCAATTTTTTAGGTGCTATTATTTAGAATTCAAAAATACAATTTGGCAGTTAGAAATCGCAAACCGCCAAAAAATCGCTCGTCTGGCGAACAGCACCTGACCCAATTACCATTAATTCTCCGTTATTATGGACTAACTACAAGTATGTGGATCTCGTGGATAGATCGTCATGAACTCGGACAATGCCGCCATAAAAACTAATAGACCTGCGCCCATCAATTTCCTTTCAATCGATCCGGTCTTTCCCTCCGATATGTCAAGAATTGGCATTCCTTCTTCCACGCCACTATATAGCCTCTCGTCCGACTTTCCCGCCATTCCTTCCATATTTCTGCGCCCGGCATGTCTAGATATTTATTGAAAAGGCGCAGACAAACATAAAAGTGAAATAATATTTCTGGCCAGATGCCAGGGAATTGCTGAAACAAAAAGCCATGGATATGCCAGTGGGAATCGGGAAAGGGTATCGGGTATTGGGACTCGGGAACTGGGAACTGGGAACTGGGCACTGGGAACGGGCATCTTAGGGAATATGGCCAAAGGTTCGTGGGGTGGGAGCTGTTTATATTTGACTTATGTGCGTGTATTTTTGGTCTCCCCTCGAGTTTTAAACATATATATACATATGGGAGAGGCGTCGCTTGGGGGAGTGACAGGTCGGATCAGATGGGATCAGACACTTCCTAAGTGATTCCTTTGCGACACAGTGGGCCATCCTTGGAAGTAAGCGGTTTCGAGGTTGCACCATGCTAAGGATAATCGATGTTTTGATTTTGAAATTAGTACGTTGAAAAAGTTTCATAGACCAAGCACAAGGTCGCAAATGGCAATTTGTATTAGTAGTATTTGTAGTAAATTAATAGATTTTTCAGTGAGCATATATACAGAGTTAAGTGAATACTGCCTTTGTATCTTTATAGTTCTTGCAGGGTTATTATTATAAGACACGTTCAAAAGGTCCTTAAAGTTGGTATTAAAGAAGACACCCAAATGCCTTTAAATCTTTGAGAAACTGGCATTCATTGTTGCACTAAGCTGTTTTTTTTAATATGCCGCTGAGCAATTAATAGTAATACAAATTCTATAGTAATGGCTGTATAAATGGCTTGTAATCATAGTCAGTATTGCAGATATCAAAGTTTCTTCCTTAGTAACTATCCATAACTTTTAATTGATTGATTATTTTTTGCTGCAAACGATTCTAGCTTGCCACAAGTAATGCGCTACTATTTTCGGCATATTACGAATCAGTGTGCCTGGAGCCTGCAGAACCAAAGAAGAATTCTTCGGAGACGATTCTTTGCCCTCTGCCTTTCGCTTTGATTGTTGCTTCTGTTGCAGTTGCATTTGCGCGATGCTTTTGCGATTTGAACACTTGCCAAATTGCTTTCCACACACGCACAGAGGAAAGCGGGAAAGCGGGTGGAAAAGGGTGGGGTGGCGGGGAGACCACCCTTCTCCCCTCTTCCCCTTTCGGACTATCGTCGGGGAATTGCAATTGGCGATTGTATACACAAAAGGGCAGACTAAGATGATGGAGGCCAAAGCAAATCAAACGCATCATTTGACTTCCGGCAGGGCGTGGCAACAGACCTCTCCCTGATAATAACATATCTGTCCACAAAAATAGCAGCGATTGGCTTTTAGAGCGCAAGAAGTGATGTTATGCAAACAGAAGCACACAAATAATTTCAAGTATTGTCCACTTCTGTAGCGGCATATTGTGTGACTTTTCTTACTTGGAATTTAAGCGTGTTCTAGCCATTGCCGGTAGAGTAAGAGTGTGTAACAGGTAGAAGGAACCGTGTTCGATCTTTAAAAGCGTATATATACTTGATCTGGCCACGTCCGTCTTTCTGTCCGTCCGTATGAAAGCCAAGCACTCGGCAATGTCTACATGTAATGTTGCACATCTCCAGCTCTTTTGCGCTTCAAATGGTTAAAAAACGGGTATCTAACAGTCGCGACCATAGTGGGATAGTCAACATAAATATTTTTATAAATGTGTCCAAGTACATTGACCACCACTGTGCACGACAACTGCCGTCATCAGCCGATAGAATGCGGAGCAGATGCTGTCTGGGCCAATTGCAGCCAAATGCCAACGACAATGGCGAATAGTTTGGAACTGCAGGCCCCGAAAAGCAAAAAGTGAATGGCCAAAAAGCGAAGTCCAATATGAATCGAAAGATCGCCGAGATGCACACGGCGAACAGCGCGTGTGGGGAATTATTTTAGAGTGGAAAATTGTGGGGCCAAGATTGAGGCACCGCCGCCAGTCGGGCGCCCACTAAACAAACTGAACTTTCACCTCTCAGAACGTAAGAAATGGGGGGATTACCACCTGCCAGGGACCCAGACTCAAGATCACGATGATGGGGCGACATGTGATGTGCCAAAGCAAACACGCCATATACAATTTGCACAACTCGCCCAATCCCCAGCTGTCTGAGGATTGTCCGAATCCGCGGCTAATTTACGATACAAGTTATTATTAATTTGTCATCGGGTCGGCATTAAAATCCCCCGGCAAAGAAAATACAGACGACTTATAACGAGCAGACATGCTTGCGACGGGTATTTGGGACTCTTCAATATCTTGTACCATAATGTTTTCAATTGAAGACAATTACATAAAGCAGTCACTTAGTAGGAAAGAGGGATTTGAAAAAGGGAATATATTTAAACTAACTATAATGGACGGAGCTTACAAAGAACATACAATTTTCAATCAAAGGTTTTTAAAAAGTGTCTACGGAAATAGGGCGCCTACTACTGCTTTTAACCTGAAGAGAAACTCCCGTGAACCTACAAATGGTTATAGCGTTTTTATTTCAACCTCCAGAGGTACCATATTCGAATTTCCAATCTGGACTTTTAATTAAGCGCATATACCCCACGATTACCCTGTTAATGGGAACATTTAAGCAAGAATTCGTGTCTGCCTGTCTGTCTTTCGGATCGCCCGATATTGTGGTAGGTAAACCGGGCGGATAGCCTGCCCCTAATGGCTCACGGCTAATTGACAAGGGCCAACAAAAATAAAAGAAATGGAATGGAATGGTATGGTATGGAATTAGCAAAGACAATTATGTAACTGGGGAAGGTCAGTCTCTAATGCCTATGGCTGTACGGCATTAATGCCATTTGGCATGCTGTTCTCGGCTGGAATCGGGGTCCACAATCTAGAATCTAGAATCTAGACTCTAGAATGTAGAATCTAGAGAACAGCTGGCGAATGTCACTTGTCAGGGGTATTTTTCTCGCTTTTACGACAGTTCCAATGCGACATTACGCCCACGCGGAACTCACCTTTGCAGATCTCTATAAATACATATACTATATCCCCAACATTCTCTGCTCTTTATTCGCTTTTTGCAGGCAATCTTATTTTATACACCAAGATGGCTGTGGAAATCTTGGGAGGGTGGCAAGATTCATGCGCTCATCATGGACTTAGACATAGGCATTTGTTCCGAAGCCGAGAAAAAACAAAAAAAGAAATTACTTTTAGATTATTTGTGGGAAAATTTAAGGTAAGTACGGCCCGTCCAGCTCTTTGACTAGCCAAATGTACTCACACTCCTTGTTACGATAAGTTTTTATTTTGAATTTTATCCTCCGAATATGGAAGCCATTGAGTCCCCAGATAAATTGATCTTGGTAAATTTGCAAGTCCCAATAAAAAGTACGGTTCATTTTCGAGATAAAACTTGAATTACCCAATATATTTCGTCTAAAACTACAACCAACGTAACGCGTACAGTTCTCAAGAATAAGGGCATCTATAAAATGAACCCCTCACCATTTACAATGGAGTTCAGGCAGTACAATGCACCCGAACCCACCTTTGTAGACGATTCCCAAAACAAACATTTCCGGGCAATAGTCCGACTAATTAACAAAGAATTATCCGGAAATGGACTGTGAGTCACGAGCCAGAGTTCTCCAGACACAAAGGATAGTCGGACAAACGTTTTGGCCATTGTAGAGCTGCAAATACACATTTATTTACATATGAATCACAGCTAATGGCCAAATTTCCGCCGATTTCGTTTGCAGATATCACAATTGGTGGGCGTACAGATATTACGTGTGTGAGCTGCTCGCCCTTATAAATGTGATAGGTGAGTACTAGTGCACGGAAAAATTAATTATAATAATAATTTTAATAATAACATCCAACCGATGTGTCCTGAGATCGTCCTGTGCCACAAGGGGCACATCGAACTCAGTTCGCATCATCTATTGCTGCAAGTATATTTCTTTGACCTTGGCTCAGCTGTGTGTTTGAACCAAACAGATCAAATTGATATGATAGTGGGAGAACGCTATGGTCGAGTGTCTTGACGGGGAATTACCCAGTACTCATATTAGGAAATACTAGTATAAGGAAAACCACGTAGCTATACGTAGGTTACCACACAATTCAAGCCACATGGTAAAGTGCGTTTTTCGCCAATAAAGTGAGTGACTACACACACGTTTGCAGTCGAAAATGAATGTACTAGTTGTTACTCAACAGCAACAAAAGCTTGCGATAAAACAGAACACAGTCCGGTGTTTTTCTCGGTGCACATGCCAATCTGTCGACTTCTCCAGGTGGCAGTGGGATCGGTAAACAAAGTTTCGGGGTTAGCAAAACGGTTTCTTGCGACGGGCCTCATAAATTCGGCATTCATTAACATTCCCCGTTCGATTTTACGCCGAAAAATCAATGACGAATTTTTATCGACTGACCGCCCCGCATCAAAATAAACAAATGCTTCCCGATATTTCTGGTCCCCTCGTGGGGCGCGCGCGCCGAGATTCGAACTCTGACAAAATAATGAACTGTCAGAAGACATGGGAAATAAACAATAATACAATATTGCGAGTAAAACACGTTTATAAAATGGCTGACATCGCTTCAAGAAGTGCGAGGGACGGTCCGTTGGAAAATTGGGGCCTAAATGGCCAGAAATTTGAAATGGGTTAATTAGGCGGCGGGAATGGGATAAATGTAAATGGAAATGGAAATCGGGGGCCATTTTCATTGACTGAAAGGTGAGGCGCCGCGAAAATGCAGTTAATTGTAGACCCAGCAATACAGTCGTACATATATTTAAAATATTTTTCTCGCTACGTCAAGACGTTCATAGGAATGATTTTAAATATTATCTGTAGAATATGCAGGCTAAACGATTCGTGTGGTCAAAATCTCATTTTACTGGTAATAAAACTAGCTTTAACTGAATCTTAAAACAAGCATTTTCTTATATTATACATACATACCCAATTGAGTACTGTCGAGACCCTCAACTATAGCCTTCTTGCCTGGATAATGTACATTCGGTCGGGATGTAGAAATATGTGTCAGTGGAATCAGGCTTTTTCCTCTGTATATGAAAAATCCCATCTATCTAGCCCACTTAGTTGCCAAATGAATTTGAAAGTAAATTAGGCGCTGTTCAGCAAAGGCTTTTCCATTTAATAAGTTGTCTTCCTTTGAGCATTCATTGGTTATTCCTTCAAAAGTTTATTATGCAAATAATTATGACCACAGTGCTTTCGCAGAAAGTGGTCGTTAAAAAATTTTTAATGCCCCTGTGGCAGCATATCCCAATGGTTATTTCTCTATTGTTCTCTCGATAAAACCAATGAAATGCGCATCAGTTCGCCATAAAAATTAACGTACCTTGGAGCATTGTTTGTTCATTGACCTCCATCTCCATCCCAATTAGCCGCAATTAGCGCGTTCGATTGATGGTTCTCGATTTCGATTCCGATTCCGAATCTGAATCCGAATCCGTATCTGCAACCGATGTCGGTCTATCTGCCATAATTAATGGGCTGCGCGGGTGCGGGTGAGTTGTAATTGAGGAGAAAATCGATTCCTTCCCGCCCCGTTGGCCTTAAATCAATCGATCAAGCGGATCCGAATGCATCGGACCGGGAAAAGTCCGTACCGATTCGTAACGCCGAATTTTCCAAAGAGCACCTATGCACCCATGCACAACTAGAGGGTTAATGAAAAATGAATGGCGGGAAATCGGTGGCAAAGAACCCATCAATTCCTGTGTCCGGTCCGATAAACAGATATTCAAGTAGGACAGATGGATAGGCAGATAAACCGAACGAACGAAAAGTGTATCTCTGTATCTCTTTGGTGCTGATTTGTATCTTTTTTGTGGTTCCTTTGCAGGTCAAATGTTTCTTATGAATCGATTTTTCGATGGCGAATTTATGACATTTGGCCTGAAAGTGATAGATTATATGGAGACCGATCAGGAAGATCGCATGGATCCGATGATTTACATATTTCCCAGAATGACCAAATGTACATTTTTTAAATATGGTTCAAGTGGGGAGGTGAGTAACGAATGCAGCTCTCGACAAACCCAAGACTCAATAATAATTTAATCTGCTTTTCTAGGTGGAGAAACACGACGCCATTTGCATTTTACCATTAAATGTTGTTAATGAGAAGATTTACATTTTCCTTTGGTTTTGGTTTATATTATTAACGTTTCTCACATTATTAACGCTAATATACAGGGTGGTTATTATATTCTCTCCTCGAATGAGGGTCTACTTATTTCGTATGCGATTTAGGTGAGTTGCGTAGACATTGGGGGGCTCACTGGCATTGATATGGGAATACTTAAGGGGAGATGTAAAATTGATTGAAAAGGAGCTTTCGAGCTAAGGATTCGCGTTTCTATGAGATGTGAATGACTCTTGTGGATTCCACAAAAATCCCTAAATAGGTGTCTAGTGGTATGCAGCAAAAATACTATCTAGTTCGCATTCGTGTTCGTTTTTCACTGCATACCTTGTAGACCCCTATGTGAATTTGAAACCTTAGCTCTTTCTGGTGCCACAGGTGCCCAGGTTTCTTGTCAATACGCCTACCTTGTGCCCTTATCAAATCTAGTGATTCCCATTAGCGTATACAATATTTTAAACAAATTAAACAAAACCTAATGCCATTTTTCCAATTGCAGGTTAGTGCGTCGTGACGCTATTGAAATAATCGTTCGTCGTTCGAAGATGGGCGATTGGTTTTTGTTGTATTTACTAGGTGAAAACATAGATACAGTTATATTTCGTGATGTTGTACAGGACTTAGCGAATCGTTTAGGACATAACCAACACCACAGGGTGCCTGGCTTAAAAGGTGAAATACAGGATGCATGATATTGGGAGTATTAGAAACAATACAAAATGCAATTTGTCGTCTCCATTTGAAAACCATCGAATTCAACAACTCAAATGTCGAAAGCAAGAACAAGACTAAGAAAGGACAATTACAACCACAAAGGAATCTAGAGATCTTCGCAGCAGCCGCTTCATTAAAACTTACAACTCAACACACCGCTAAAAAATCTTTAAAAAAAAACGTATCTCAAAAATACAACCAAAAAAACTATCGTCAGCTCGCAGTCAGTCATAAATCAGCATTTTCAATCATGGAGACTAAGTCTATCGATAGTCGATACAAACACATCCAAAACCACAGGCATAGAATACAACATAGACAAATGGAAGCGGAATGAAAGCATGGAGAAATATGGAAAAATAGGAAAGCATTAACAGCCACGCAACGAAAGGAATTACTCAAAAACCAATATCAATCAATTTAACGTAAATGAGAAAACGGATATCGAATAATCGAGAGATCTAGAACGGAAGTCCTGGGACTTTCGGACAGGACACCCAAGCCGGTGGCAAGTAGCGCCTGCCGTCGGCCAGGGGTCACAAGGTCACAAGTCACAAGGGATCGCTTGGGAAATCAGCGATCAGCGACCCATAGAAAAGTTGCCCCAAGGACAAGATCAAAGTGTGAGGAGAACAGCAAATGGACAGCACCGGAAACGGAAACAACAGACAGATACGCACACACGCACACACACACACACACACAGACACACAGACGACGCCACACATACGCTTACAGCGACATCACTCATACGCCCCGTAGAACACATCGCACTTTGCTTGTCATGCAGCGTTAACTAAACCAAACATCAACAAAGTCGAGACGACGCCCGCGGAAAATTGCATTTCTGTATTAACCCCAATAGAAGAGAAGGAGAAGAGTCGAAAATCAGCATCACTTTCACCGAGGAAAAGCAGGAGTATCATACAAACGAGATGCTAGAACAACGCAACAGGACGGGGAAAGAAAAGCCTCCCCGCCTTGAAGAAGCAGCAAATGAAAGTCAAGAAAATCGCAAGCGGAAATCGCAGAGGGGAGTAACAGTTTAATTAAATTAAATTCAATTCAATTAAATTACTTATTACAATGATATCTTGAAGTGTTCATGTATTCGAATGTAGGTTAACTAAGTCAAGCATACAAGTAATTCTACATATATGTATAATATATATATTATATATATACATATATATATATATATATATATATAAACAATTTTTTTTTTTAACTCTAAGCATTTGTATTACCCGCTAAACAAATGAACAAGAAAACAAAACAAAAAAAACATAGAAAAAAACAACCAAAAAAAGGCAAACTGAAAACAGAATTTTTTTGTATACAGAAATGAATGAAAATTGAAACCCGAAATGAGCAGATAGCGAAATAATGTTAAAGAAAAAGAAAAAGAAAGAGTAAAACCTAAAACCGAGACGAAACGAACAGAAAATATCAGTAAATATCAAAGAAAGTTCAGAAAATACCATACCGAATACCGAAAACCGAAACAAAAGATACATTTACATAGTTTAATTAGAAGAAACTATAGCACGCATCATTATATAACCGAAAAACTGAAAAACTGAAAAACCGACCGAACAGAGCGTAACTCCCAACTCACTAAGACAAACAGACAGACGGAAACGGAAATGTTTTAAGCTCACACACACTCACAACACAACACAAAACACACAAACACACACGTATATAGCATGTAAAGCATATATAAATATATATAATTATCAATCGATCATTCAGCAAAAGAGAGCAGCCAACATTCGCATCATAAAACAATTAACTCCACTAATAATAGAGCATACTCAACTCTATCTCTCTCTACGAAAAATACGCCTAGTACTCAAGAGGTAAATGCGAAAAGAAAGCCAGGAAAAACGGGCGGGACACTCACGCTTTGCCACATGAATCAAGTGTAAACGCAACGATAATAACTTTATAATACCGCTAGCAAATAAAGTCCTAAGCAGGAGGGTACAGTGCGGGAGTTCGACAATTCCCCCAGGCATTGCAGGTGGTCCTACAGTAAAGCCCTTCTATGACAAACATCGCCCCCTCCGAAAAAGAGTCACCCATCCGCGAGTTCATCATGTGCTACAAATCGTAATATCCGTCCAGAAAACCTTTTGAAGCGCACCTCCCACTCTCTAACTCCAAGCTCCCCTCTTTTTTTGGATCCCGATCCCTGATCCAGGGTCCTTCCAAGTTCCATCTTCCTCCTTCCGCAGCCCCCAATCCCCAAGAAATGGACCAAAGAACCAGTTACACAGATGCCTCAAAAGTTTTCCCCCCTCCCCGTCGTATTTTCCCATCTCTTGAAGGACGACCAAGAAAACAAGTACACAGCCAGAAAAAGCCAAGCCAGAGATGCAAATCTAACAACAAATGTCACTGCCAACAAAACCAGTAATTGTAAAATCAAGTTTAAATAGTTAAAGACCATACATACATATATGAATCGTAATGGGGGTGGACCTGATAGGAAATGGAAGGTATTTCCGTAGGGCCAGCACTGCAATGCCGATAGTAGTTACAAGAAAGCAAAAGGAATTAACACCCGATGATTGTTCCTTGTCACAGAATCAGGAATTGCCGATGTGGACCTGCTCAAAACCTCACTCCTTTCGGGAATTCATTTTGGATTTAGATCCCCTAATTTGAGTGCTTTTTCCGTCTACTCACACTACTCAGCATACTCAAAGACGCATTACAATTTAGAGGGAGGAGAATGTGGGTGTAAGGTTGAAGCGAAAAAACAATAAATGTAACAATAAATGGTAATAAGTAATTTTAGCGTATTTTTTTTTTAAAAGCTTATAGCCAACTAAGTGAAGTAATTGTAATTCTAGTTCAAACTGAACCATTTTGTCAGCGTTTTTTTTGTCGTGGATTCGTAGGTTAAGCCCACACACACACACACACACTTAAAGCCACACACAACACAACCACAAACATGGTAAACGAAAAGCAAATGTATAAATATCGAGGTTACTTACACTGTAATTAAGGGGGTGCGAATAAGAAGGAATACCATACCAAAACGTAAGCATATTACAAGGAAATTGCCATTAGTCGATAGTGTTAAAGCGATACGTATATGATCTACATGCTAGGCTAACGAAAAAACAAACAAACGAAAGAAATAAAGGAAGGAATACTTAGTGTAGCTCAAGATGGAATCTCTCGTATCTCGTAACTCGTAACTCCAACTAAAAGCAATTGTAAAATATCGTAATAGATCTAGGGGCGATCGAACAAACAAGCAAAAGCAAACGAACAATACGCAAGACTTTATTTTTCAAAGTATTTGCCGCAATATTAGGTCAAAGAGTTCGAATTGTACTAGCTGAATCTAGAAAATAAGAAGGACATTTCATAGACGCAATCGTAGAAGCAATAAGCACATCCGGAAACGGAAATGAAAATTAGAACGGAAACGGAATCAGGCAGAGCTAACGGTAACAACGATGACTCTTCACCACGTTTCACCACCTCCTGTACAATTCTGTCCAATTCTCACCACACAGCACTGCACTTTTTTCGCTCTCTCTCTCTGTCTCTCTCTCTCTCTTTCACACACTCCTTTTCAATCTCGTTCCCACTGAAAGTATCTTTTAACTATTTTTTCACTACATAGCCGGTTTCCACTTGAAGAAAAAAGCAAAGAAATGCACACATGCAGAATGTCACTGATCAGCATTTCAAATATGAGGAGAATGTAAATTTCATGTGTGATCGTCGCCATTTTTCCTATCATAGAGTAATGCACTTGTATTCTACATGTTTTACACACGTCTGAACATGTGACAGTGGAAACGGGCTACAAACCTCGTATATTCCGTATGAATATTGAACAATTCTGTTGAAGACATCTTTTTTTTTCCAGTGATTAATGTTTGTGTTCGTTTGTTCATTTGTTTGTCTGTTTGTTTGTTCCCGGTCTGAATTTGGGTTCTGCCATATTGTTTGTGTATAATTATTATGTATTGTTTGGTGGCTAAGTTAAGGTTTTAGTTCTGTAACTTCTATCGTACTTTCTCACTCATTTGTTCATTCGTGCAATAAAAAAGAGACTTGTATACATATCATTGTTTTTTTGGTTTTATTTTCGGGTTGCATTTCAGATTCTCCACCCACCTGTTCCTCTCTCTCCCTTTCTCTCTCTCTCATTATCTTTCTCTTTCTCAGCACCCGCTCAATTTAAAGCGACGAAGAAAGTCAATTTCTCACGGCTCAAAAACGCAATAAAAACTGAACCAAGAAATCGAACGAACTAGAAGCAACAATTAGTGAAGAATATTGGTGAAATACTCGTAACGTATATTTTAAATCGAATTAGTGAGTGAGTAGCGCAACGGTAACGAAAAAAAAAACAATTTAGTTGAATTCCCTAGCAGAAACGAATCGAATCGAATAGTGACAACTTTTTATTAGGAAGCGAAAGCGTTTTTTAATTGTATACTAATATAATCAAAATTGTAAAGATCAAATAACAAATACTGCATACAAATTGAAACTGCCAATTCACATTCTCAGACAAATTTTTACGAAGCTAAAGCTAAAACCAAAACGAATACCAAAACTTAAGAACATCCAATTAATAGCACTAAGCGAAAATATACAAAATTGCTGAAAATTACCGAAATGCGAACCCAAATTGAAAAATCGCAAAATCGAGCTCGTATCTAGATCATTTAACTAGGCCCACGGCTTAAAACCTCCTTCGTTTCGGTTTCTCCCGATTCTCGATTTCGATTTCGATAGCCAATATATCCGAAGGTCGTCACTTGATTAACCAAATCGGATTGCGGTTCAGGATTACTTTAGGCACTTAGCGTATATATCAATTTGTGTGTGTGTGAACAAATAGCAGACAATAATTAGTGAGGCAACTTTTTAGGCGAGATCGAAGGACCAGGACTGAAATGATGAGGGAAACTCAGTTTTCCTGGACTAAGTGGGCGTGGCTGGGGACTTTCACAAGCAGCTAATTTATTGTCTTCCAGCGTAGCGCATATAATTCACTATTTGAGTCAAAATACTTTGTTTCCCCAGCTGGAATAACGTTTCAGCTTCAAATGTGATTTAATTCTAATTTTTAATCGCTTTTTGTTTTTGTTGAAGTTTTCTATGCTATTGGCCACGCCCCAAGATCTCATAGGCTTGAAAATGATAGAAAGAGATTGATTTCGTTGGTGGCCCAGAGTTCAGCCACAAAATTAGCGAGCCGCATTTGATGGAGTGTATAGGAAAACTGCCTTAAAGATTTTCAAGTGAGACCGATCGATCAACCAGCAAACCGTGTATATATTTATTATATAGAGGCCGAGTCGGTGAGCATTTTTTTTCTAAATACAATTTACGAGTAAGCATAACTTTTAACACAAATCAACCAATACACGACCTGTACATAGCCGACAGACATAAAACACCCAGCGTATATATAATTAAATATATATATATTCGAAGAAGCATATACATACCTATATATAAAGTGTTTTACAACAAACGTGGATTAGTTGGTAACCGTAGAGCGAGACATTCTTAGCAAAATTACACCTAAGTTTTCCAGATTCAGATGACTTTTTAACCAGACAAAAGCGATGGGACGAAAAGCAGCAGGCTGACAGGTAGACAAATTATGAAATTATTAAATTATGTAGAAAAGCAGTCAGTGTAAGGAACTATTTGTATTTCAACTTGTTTTCCAGGAGATCCTAAGTTTAGTAAAACGTAATGTAATGTAAATGATAAAACGAAACGAACGTATGTAAAATAATTGCATAAATAATTTCAAATATATTCGCCGATTGCCTTCAACTAGAGGAATTTTGATTACACTTAATAACGAATACTAAATAATTAATAATAATTGAATAATGCATTGAATATTTATACAAAACAAAAGGTAAAAGCAACTATTAATATATGGAAGAATGGGTAGAAGAGGTCAAGAAGAAAGACGCAAAAAGGCAGGCAGGCGCAGACAGAAAAGAACAAATCTACACAAAAATGAAATTCAAAAAGAACTGAAGTAAAAACAAAGATTTTAAAGCAGTAACAAATGGCAAACAAAAGAGAACAAACGAAAAAAAATAAAAAATCAAGATAAAGCATTCATATTTGTACACTAAAGTTC